CTCCTCTGCGGGTCGGGGGCTGGGGGGGTCCCCGCAGCTGGGGGTGCTGCCCCTCAAGGAGGGTGGGCAGGGGGCTTGGGGGAGCTGGCAGCGCCCGGCTGGCTGCTGGGTGCCCACCGGGGAAGTTCAGGCCAGATGCTGGGAGGGGGGTGGGGGAGGGGGGTGTTGCATATCTGGGCCTAACAGCCCAGCCCCCCCATCCTCCATGGATGGAGAGCCCCGGGCCCCCATGGTGCTGGGGAGTGGCAGGGTGCCCCGCAAGCCCTTTGGGTGTCACAGGCTAGGGGCAGGAGCAACCCTGCTCCTCCCGGGGGGCTGGTGGGGGACAGGCTAGGAGGGAGCCTGTGGGGGGACGACTAGGAGAGCAGTCCGGACCCGCTCACAAGGCCTCGGGGGGAGGGCTTCTGGGGGGGTGCAATGGGCTCCCCAGCATCAGCACCTGCTGCTCTGTGTGTGTAGGTGCATATGTATATGTGTATTCATGCATGCGTGCATGTGTGCATGTGCATTCATGCAAGTGTGCATGTGTATGCACATGCATGCACATAGATGCTCATGTGTATGTGTGTTCATGCAGGTGTGCATGTGTATGTGTTCAAGCGTGTGTGCGTGCATGCATACGCACGTTCATGTAGGTGTGCATGTGAATGTATGTCTGTGCAGAGGTGTGTGTGCATGCCTGTGTGTGCAGAGGTGTAAAGACACCCAAATTCTTCGGCCCCGGGAGGGGAAGGGGGCTCTGTCCTGCCGCCCTGCTGCGGGCGCTGGGGCCGGATCCTGGGTCAATGCAGCACTGTTCCTGCCAGGCTGCGCGGCTGCCGCGTCCCCTATTTACTGCGAACAAAGACTCGTTTCCAGGGTGACGCCCCGGGCTCGGCAGCGGGACCTGTCTCCTGGACCCCCAGCCCCCACCGCACCGGGGCATCACCCGGCAGCGCGGGGGGAGGGGAGGGGAGGGGGAGGCAGCTCCCACTGGCTTGTGTGCACACGCGTGCATGCACCCCCCCCCGACTTCAAGAGACCCACATGTGCACACATGCATGACCCCAGGCGACATGCTCACACATGCATGCACCTGTGCATGCCCCCACGTGCACATGACTTCAAGGCATGCACACACACGCAGGCGTGCACATGTGACTGCAGGGGACATGCAGATACATATACATGTGTGCACACGCACAACTCCAAGGGGTGCACAGCCGCACGCATGCCGTTCAGCAGCCGGAAGAGGCATCCCACCATGCCTGTGCCCCTCCGTGCCCCCACGGGAGGCTGCGAGCCCCGGCACAGCAGGGATTCTCCTGCGCTGGGGTTTGATGTCGTGGGGTGGGACGGGTTTCTGGCCACCCCGGTCCCTCCTGGCAGCTGGCTCCCTCGGCCAGTCCATCCCAGTTCGCCCAGTGGGCTCAGTATCACTTGCCCCTGCCCCCGCACTCACGGCCCTGGCTTTCCCCGCTGCAGGAGAGTACGTGGAGGGGGTGAGCGACCAGGACGTCCTGCTCATCCACTCCTGCCGCCAGTGGACCACGGTGACGGCGCACAGCCTGGAGGAGGGACACTACGTCATCGGGCCCAAGATCGACATCCCGCTCCAGTACCCAGGTACGGGGCCCAGCGCCTCTGCGGGGCATGGGGGGCCTGGCGGCCTGTGGCATCGGGCAGCGACGCCAGCGCTTGAGACTCAAGGGAGGTCGCGGGTCCAGGCACGCGGGCCGTGGTTGTGGCGGTGGCGGGGCCATGGCACGGCGAGCAGGGTCAGCCCCCCTCGGTCTCCTCGTCTCCAGACTCAATCAGCTCAGTTCCCTCCACCTCTCCGCACCCGTCCTGTCCCCCAGCCCCGCAGCCATGTCCATTGTCCTCTGCTGGACTCTCCCCAGTTTGTCCACATCCTTTCTGCGGTGCGGGGCCACAGCTGGACACCGTGCTCCAGATGTGGCCTCCCCGGTGCCCCACAGAAGGGAAGAATCGCTGCCCTCGACCTGCTGGCACGGTGCCCCACGCAGGGCGAGGGCCGCTGCGAGCTGGCCGGACGGAGGGTGCCGTGGGGGCAGGGCTGTGCAGTGGGCGGGGGGCTCTGTATTAAAGCTCTGAGATCACCCAGGCCCTTAATGACCAGGCTAAGTGCTTCCCATCTCAGTAATGATTCACGTTGATGAATTAATAATGGGAGACGGATGGCGGGGGAGGGTCGACCCCCGGCCTGGGGGAGGGGCGGGGGAGCCGCAGCTTGTTAACCTGCTTTGCTCAGCCTCATTCATAAAACCCGGCTCCAAGCTGCCGCGACCTGAGCCGTGTCGCCTGGCAAAAGCTTGTGGGGTTGCTCAGCTTGGGGGGAGTGGGGCGATGCCCCCGAGCCTGACCGCCAGCCCAGGACCCCCGCTCCCATCTCTGCCGGTGCCTGTGGTTCCCAGCTCCCGGGGACCCGCAGCTTTGTGAATGCTTCTTGTTTCAGCCTAGACCCTAAGCCCCAACTACATCTCAGCCAGGGCTTTGTCTACCCGGGGCTTCAAAACCTCCAAGGATGGAGACTGAACCACCTCCCTGGTGCAGTGCTTCACCACCCTCCTCGGGAGAACGTTTTTCCTAATATCCAACCTCAACTTCCCTTGCTGCAGCTTGAGCCCATTGCTCCCCATCCTGCCATCTGCCGCCTCAGCCCCCAACCGTCTTCATTGCCCTCCGCAGTCCTCAGTGCCTAGTTGGGGGCAGTGACCAAGTGGGGTTCACCCAGGATCTGCTCTTGTTCAGCGTCCTCATTAACGATTTGGACGATGGGATTGAATGCACGTTAGCAGATCTGTGGATGATGCTAGGTCGGGTGGACCGCGGGCAGGGCTAGTGACCTGGGCAGACTGGAGAAATGGTCCGTGACAGGAGATGCAGGACAAGGGGCAGGGCTAGGAGCAATGGCCTCGAGCTGCAGCAGGGGAGACTGAGGCTGGAGATAAGGGGGGGACTTCCTGACTCTGTGGGTGGTCAGGAGTGGGACCAGGCTGCCCAGAGACGCAGTTGAGTCTCCAGCCTTGGACGCTTTCGAGGGCAGACCAGACAGACCTGTGCTGGGATGGTTTAGTCGGGGCTGGACGAGCCAGGGAGTCGCACCTTACTAGAGCCGTCGCGGAGGCAAACCCCTGCACACGATGCACCAGCCGAGCCCGACACGGATGCGCAGGGTCCAAAGACTCCTGCCCGGCGGGAGCTCTCTGCAGCCGGAGACCGGCTCTAGGGTTTGGCAGGGTCAGGAAAGCCGTGAGAGCTGAGCTGGCGCCTTCCTGGGGGCTTGTCTCCCCCGGGCGCGGGGTGGGGAGGGCACTGCTCTAGTGCAGACTCGTGCTTTGCTCTGATCCCTTTGCTACCCGGGTGCAGTGTCCCCCGGGGGGTGGCTGCGACCTGCCCAAGCCTGTGACCCCTCTTCCCCACGCCGGTGGTTGTGCGGCCGCTGTTGCCCGAAGCCGTTCGCCCGTTCGCAGCTGCCGGGAGGCTGAGATGTGGTTTGGGAGGAGGCCGGTCCATGGGTCCAGACCCCGCCGGTGTGGGGGGAGTCCCCGGCTCCAAGCTCGCTGCCATTCCTGATCTCTCTCAGGGGTGCTGGTCACAGCTGGGGGTCCCGCTGGGGGGCTGTAGGCAGGGGAGACCCCCCCACCCCCCCAAGCTGTGCTTT